TGTCATGGATAAGGACCGTGGTTTTGTGAAACCTGACCCATGATGGAGGAGGGGTGGTGGGAGGGTGGGAAGACCTCAAACTGTAGCAGGAATTATGTAGGTGAAGCAGTCAAGGAGGGCCTTTCTGGAGGAGGAAATAGTGTGGAGAGAAGCTGGGAGCTAGTGCCAGAGGGTCCACAAGGCAAAACCGGGAAGGGTTAGCAGGTACAGGACAGGGAATTCTAGACTTTAGCCTAAGAACAAAGGCCAGTGATTGAAGCGTGGTTTTCCAGGCTGAGAGTGGCCATCAGGCATGTAACTTCAAGGGCAACCTTACATGCTTTTCCCACGTGCTGTTTCTAAGGCTTCATCCATCCCAGGCACCCCTGGAGCTGGTCCTCTTAGGAGTTAGGATTGTGTGGGGCCCACATTTTTCTACCATTGCCTTCTGCCATTAGGCAAGTCCCATTAGGACCTTCTTTTGGTGTCTGAGGGTTGGATCTCGATGTTAACTTCTTGTTAGTGTGATTATCTTCTTGTATCATGAGTTGCCCGAGGTCAGCAGTTGCCTGCCAGCCCATGGCGGTGCCATTTCCATGAGTTATTAGAAAGGTTTACGAGGCCAGGATAAACAGCATGAATCAAGACAGAGACAGGCCTCCTTCCTGTGCTTATATTGCTTTCACTCAGGGAAGATGTCAGAAGAGGCTGAAGTGAGGGAAGGAGAGAGAAGGGGTGAGAGAGGGAGGGAAAGGATGAACAAAAGAGGATTTGAGAAAAAGAGGAAACAACGAGAGAGAGGAAGAAAGATTTTCCCCTTAGAAGTGGGAAGTACTGATGGCTGTTTATTTCCACAGCCATTTGGGCTACCTCTGAACGCAACCAAGAAATTAAGACAATGTGTAGGCCCAGGCCTTTCTGTCAATGACCTGCTACCATTGTGTTACCTTGGGTAACTCATGTGCCTTTCTGGGCAGTTAGTTTCTCTCTCTTTCCATTGGCAGAGCTGCCAACTGCCAGGGATGGTTAAGTGCATAGATGCACAGGCTGTTGAAATGTCAGGATTCTTTAATGGAGGCCTTTCGAAAAGTAACGTGTGATGCCACCGTTTTTATTCAAAAAGTGCATTGGTGCTTTCCAATCACTAACTTGTCACCTTGTGTGCAGATGTGTTGCCGTATTTGTGGGACTAAGAATGCCTTGAAATATGCTGGGATAAATAAATTACCATTGGCACTTAGGATGCCAGTTTTAATCACAGTTGAGGACTTGGAGGACAAATGCCTTTGTTTCTTTGATTGTCTGCTTTTGGGATACAGCCAACCCCCCCCCACCCTGAACTAATAAACTTGGCTCTGAAGACCAAACTCTTCCTTCTTACCAGCAGAATCAGAGCAGCTATTAATGCTCTAAGTGTTTGTGACAGCCATAGGAATTTGGGAATTTAAGTAAAGGATAAATATCTAAATGATATGAAATTGGAAACTAGGAGGCCTAGAACGTATTTTGTATTTTTATTAAACATGGATTTGGGGCTTGGGTTAGCCATTTGGTTCAACTCTTCCCATGAACTCTTTAGATTGCTCATAAGAAGACTCCGCCTGTCGATTTATTTTGACTATTGCAAAATGGCGGCATTTGGCTTGCAGGAGCTCTGGTATTTGAGTTTAGAGACACCTGCCTGGGTTTAGGTGATAGATCATGAAAAAGAATTGAGTATTTAGATCAACCTCTTTGGTTTCATTATCCAGATTCTATATAAGGAATCTTTAAAATTTTCCAGGTGACTTCCTGGGATCACAGTTATCCCTCCTTCTCTATAATGAGCACCAATGACCTGATGCTGAACTGGGTAATGATTGGAATCCAATGACTTATGACTGTGGCCATCACAAGTGTCCAACTGGAAAACACTTGGATAGTCTTTGTTTCTCAGAAGCCACATATTTATTCTCTCCGATTCGAGTATCAAAATCCAAGTACAGAGTTCATGCCTGCCATCATTCCCCACCCATGAAAGGGTGCTGTTTGGCCAGAGTCTTCTCTTTTTTCCTCATCTTTAGTACGTATTTACAAGTGGGAGGACGGCTGCCTGGAAATGGTCAGTAAAACCCTGGGTCACTGAGATGCTAAGAAGATTCCCTTCTTAGTCCCTCTCAACAAATATTAACTGAGTGGCTCTTGTGTGCCAGGCACTGTTCTAAGCTCTGGGATTCTAGTAGGAAACAAAACAGATAAGAATCTCTGTTCTTATACAGTGTGCATGCTGGCAATGTATTCTGGCCATTTATATTTTCTGCTGAATGGAACAAATACTTATGTATTCCATTCATTGGACACCTTTATGTGCTTTTCAGGGTACCTCTTTGGGAGTAAGCCTTTCTAAAAGGCATTTGTCCTCAAAGTCCTCAACTGTGATTAAAACTGGCATCCTAAGTGCCAATGGTAATTTGTTTATCCCAGCATATTTCAAGGCATTCTTAGCCCCACAAATACGGCAACACATCTGCACACAAGGTGACAAGTTAGTGAATGGAAAGCACCAATGCACTTTTTGAATAAAAATGGTGGCATCACATGTTATTTTTCGAAAGGCCTCCATTAAAGAGTCCTGACATTTTCTAAAATGCCTGTTTTAGTGTTCTTACATTAAGCAGAGTTGCGAAAACTCAACTGGCTTTCCCAGGTGGGTCATAAACGTAGACATCTATTACTTTTAGCAAATTCTAAAGAAGGTAGGTTAGGCTGAATGTACACGAACCAGACTGTCTTGCAGTGATTAGATTTTTAAGCAATTTCCTGCTGCTAGCTTGCTTTCTTAGTTTTTACTTCTCTCTTAAGGTAGAAACACTAGAGAAAAAATAAATCCAATTTGCGATAATGGTTCAGCTTTCTAAAATCTTCGAGGCTTGGGATACTTTGATTCAGTTATTCCTTTCAGACAGTTTCTGGTGGCTTTTTTCTTCATGGACGTTTTAGGCATCATACTTATTAAAAATTTGATGAATTCTCACACCTGTAATCCCAGCACTTTGGGAGGCCAAGGTGGAAAGATCACTTGAGTTCAGGAGTTTGAGACCATTCTAGGCAACATAGCAAGACCTCGTCTCTACAAAAAAATTAAAAAATTAGCCAGGCATGGTGGCATGCGCCTATAGTCCCAGCTACTTGGGAGGCTGAGGTGGAAAGATTGCTAGATCCCAGGAGATTGAGGCTGCAGTGAGCTGTGATTGTGCCACTGCACTCCAATCTGGGACAGAGTGAGGCCCTCACCCAAGAAAAAAAAGAATCTGATATGATGTTTTCTGGAATTAAATTATGCAAGCAGTTATTGAACTCTAAGGATACAAATGTGAAAAATGAACTCTACATTTCATCCAGGCTCCCAATGGGAAAATAAGAAAAGGAGAATAGCATATTAGATGATTAAGAATGAAACAGATGCAGGTATAGGGTGCCATGAGAGCAGAGATCTGAGCATGCCTTACCCTCCTGAGGGCGTGGGTATAGGAGTCTGGGATTGGAGAGGTAGTTTATAAAGGCTTAAAGAGGAATCCAGGTCTTGGCTCTTTACTATGGAGTCCCAGCAGAGTTTCTGAGCTTAATTCAGATGGAGACATCAAAAAGAAAAATTTTATTTTATTTATTTTACATAGATGATAATATACATTATTGGTTTCCTAATTCTACCATTTAAAGAGTGCTTGCTAGCCGGACTCGGTGACTCAGCCTGTAATCCCACGCTTTAGGAGGCTGAGGTGAGTGGATTGCCTGAGTCCACGGGTTCGAGACTACCTGGGCAACTTAGCGAGACCTCATCTCTACAATAAATCAAAAATTAGCCAGGCGTGGTAGCGCGCGCCTGTAGTTCCAGCTACTTGGAAGGCTGTGGCGGAAGGATCACTGGAGTTCAGCAGGTCGAGGCTGTGGTGGCAGGGAGCGTGCCACTGCACTCCAGTCTGGGCGACAGAGTGACACTCCAACTCAAAAATAAATAAATAAAATAAAATAAAATAAAATAAAGAGTGCTTGCCATGTGTTAGGCACTGGGGCACTGTGCTAAGTATTTTACTGGCATCATACCATCTAATTCTCAAAGCTTCTGCTGTGAAGTAGGTAGTATTGGGTCTATTTTATAGATAAGCAAACTGTGGCCCAGAGAGATTGGGTGACATAGCTGAGATCACATAGCCAAGAAACTCTACAGCTGGGATTCAAACTGGGGTACCTTTGCCTCCAAAACTAGTGATCTTACTGCCTTTCTTGTGCTGCTGTGTTCTCAAATGCAATCTGTCTATAGATATCTTAGGCAGTGAATATCCCAGGGATTCTTCTGTACTTAGGATGAACTACATTCACTCTGAGAAACTGGCCGGTTCTTTTTTGTATGAGCACTTGATTTCCTGTTGAATCAACACAACCTCTTTCTATCACTTCTTGGAGTAACTAGGTGCTATTATTGCGTCAGATATATGTTCCTTGATCTAATTTGGATGTTCTATGTGGCCTTGATCAAGCCATTTTTAAGTCTCACTTTCTCATCTTCCCCATTTGCCCACTGCTTTGGGAATAGTATTGGGATAGACAAAAGCAACATTAGTGTTTCTGGCCAAAGATGGACTGAGATGCATTAATCGGTGCCTTTTGTCCCTGGGAGCCAAGTCATAGCTGGATTGATCCATCTTTTTGGGGGAGACTGTGGTTGCATTTGCCTTTCTGAGAGCTCCCTCTGTTTTCCAGTCTCTAAGCATTTCCACAGTGCCCCCTCACTCCAAGACTGTCGTCAATACAGTTGTCTCTGTGTGAAATGACGACCTTGCCCCAGCTGTCCCTGGAGGACGGCATCTCGATGAGTAAGTCCTGAAGCTTGCTAGATGTGTCTCAGCATTTCACATGCCTGCGTTGATTGGACAAACCCTAGTAGGGGCCTTAGGACTTGTTTGGCCTCCAGTGTCCTAAACATCACTTCTGAAAGTGTTTCCCTGGTGATTTATTTTTCTGACTTGTGTTTTCTTTTCCAGCAAATGAGAAGATTGAAGACATCAATGGCTGTCCAAAGAACAGATCGCAAATGGTAAGTGGTGCCTAGGTTGTGTGTGTGTGTGTGTGTGTTTGTGTGTGTTCTGTTAGCAAGCCCTGCCTCTAAATAATATTGACCATCTTGAAAGCATTCACACCAGATGCTTTACTCTGGGGGATTATATTAATAAACTCACAATCATTTCCAAGGAATCATGCTGTGCTTCTCTGACATTTGTTGGCATTTATTGAAAAATGGCTGTGATTTTTATGTAGATGGTGAGACAGCAAAAATGAAATATTGTCCTTGCTCTTAGACACAAATTATGCAGAACTGGTGGTGCAAACATACGTGTGTTTAGAACTTTGAACTGTTGTGACTGGTTTTGCTACCCCCCCAAGTCCCATAACAGTATGTGTTTGTGTATGGTGCTGAGATGGTATCTTACTAACAGAAACCGGGGTACGGAGTGGGACTGCCTTTAAAGGTTAGAATCATGTTAAATCAGAACTGTGACAGGAAATGTGAAATGTATGGTCACATCTGAACCATTCTCAATATAACCTTTACAAGTGATATTCTCTCTGGCATGATGCATTTAAGCTCTGATATTATAGCTTAAAAAAAAAGCATAAACTAATCTTTAAAAATCTGTTCTTGTTGCACATCATCTTTGAATTAAAATTCATGATTATGTTGAGTTCATAAAACGTTGAATTGTGATATTCTAAGTGCTTAGTTTTGCCCTTCAAAATACTTTTCAAGCATGAATACACACAGAATGTGTATTAACAGAGTCTGTTTAGATGATGCTAACACTTATTTAAAATATGAAGGTAGCAACTTAAGAACAACATTTTTTTTAAACTGGACATTCATTAGCTTCCAGAAAGAGGCACAATTTGCTTGACCAGCCCCACCCCACCCCTTAGAGCAGGCACAATTTGATAGGTCTCATTTTAGGATATGCCAGAGTGATTGACATGCCTCGGGCTGACTGTTTAATTTTCTAAATTGTTTGTTATCCCAATGAGCTGGGCAGATAGGCAGCCGTTTCAGTCAACCTTTTTTTTAATGCACAAAACTTTTCTATTATAAAGAGGTCAGTGTGTGTGGAAGGGGAGTCAGTTTCCAGTTTACATTCTGAAACAAGTTTTTCCTTTTGTGTTGTTTCACTGGAGGTTTTGTTTCTTTTTATTTGATCCAGAGACCAACCATTCCTTACATAGGAAAGTCCCCAGGCAGACAGCTCATAGCTGCTTTGACTCTTGGAAAAACTTGGCTGCTATTTTTACTACAGCTACTGCAGCTGTCTAGTATATTAATAATTGAGAAAATTTGCATGATAGAAGACTTAATTTTAGTGCAAGCATTTTTTTTTTTTTTTTGAGTTAGAGTCTCTCTCTGTCGCCCAGGCTGGACTGCAGTGGCATACTCACAGCCACCGCAGCCCCAACCCACTGGGCTTAGGTGATCCTTCCACCTCAGACTTCCATGTAGCTGGAATTATAGCTGCGCACTACCACGCCTGGCTTATTTTTTGACTTATTGTAGTGACAAAGTCTCACCAAGTTGCCCAGGCTGTTGCCCAGGTCTTGAACCCCTGGGCTCAGGCATCCTCTTGCCTCAGCCTCCCAAAGTGCTGGGATTGCAGGCTGAGCCACCACACCTGGCCAGTGCAAGCATTTTATATATGCAATTATATCTTCACATGAGAGATGCATTATTTCCCTTCAGGATATTGATGCCATTGTCCCTGTTCATGGTAATGGGTACATGTAACTGACATTTGAAGGCAGTCAACCTTTTATCCCAATTTGGTGCATTTGTATTTCCTGCCCTTCTGTTGGAGGTGTTGCTTGTTGTTCAAGTCCACTTTCAAGCTTATAAACTACAGGTTGAATAGCCCTTATCTGGAATACCCAGGACCAGAAATGTTTTAGATTTTGGAATACTTGTATTATACTTATAGCATTCCTAATCCAAAAATCCAAAATGTTCCAACGATCATTTCCTTTGAGGATCATGTCTTGTTCAAAAAGCTTCAAATTTTGGAGTATTTTGGATTTTTGGATTTGGGGTGCTCAACCTGTAATATCATCACCCCAGATTCTTTGCAACTTTAGTTCTATATGCAAATAGGTTATTTATAAATAGGAACATAGCACCAATGCAGTTTTATGGTTTCTCTGTAACTCTTTCTGTTATGCTGGTGCTTTATTGTGTGTGTGTGTGTGTTTTTACATGTTGTGTGTGCATGTATGTGTGTGAATTATGTTTTTTTTTAGAACACAAAAATATAAAATTCTATAATTATCTGCATTAATTAGTTCCAGTTAGGGGTGGAGAGGCAGACATGGTCTTGTGGTAAACCTAGCAGAGAACAGTTCAGCACACAGATGCGACTCCAGGAAAGTTTATGAACCACAGTCATTCCATTCTGTCGGAAATTAGACAGGATGGTAAGGAAGAGAGGGCCACTGTTCCTACATCGCAAAACAATACATCCATAAGGCAGAACTCATCAGGTCACACAGGAAGTTCTTATAGGCAGGTATGGGTATTTTTCCAGGTAATAGGACACCTGTGTGTATGTACCTGAGCATACAGAGTTAAAGCATTTTGCTCATGGTAAGTATCATTGGAGAACACAGGGTGTGAGCCACCGTTTCCAGATTCCTAGGTGGTTAACCTCCCAAGTCGACTTTATTTAGGGTGGCCAACGAGAAACATTTGTTGCTGTGGTTTCCTAAATCTTGCCTGTTTGTAGGAGGCCAAAGGGAAAGGTATGTGGAGAGCGTTATTTTGGCAGAAGGAAGATGACACGCAGTGAGATGAGAACTTGGGATGTGTACGCTGCTGGAAGGGCAACTGACTCAACTGAAAATAACGGGCGTGGAGTTAATGTGTTGACTCCCTAAGGAAAAAGAGAGAGCACCTTCAGGGCCCTTAATAATGGAGCCAAAAAACAGCAGTTCTGCTTCAAGCAGGGGTGGTGTGGGTGCTATCCTAGTTTCCAAGAGTCAATTCGTGTCAGCAGCTAAAGGGTGGCTGGGCATGTGAGCTTTCAGGGGGAGTAAGTCCTGGAAGGGGACACCTTTTCCTCCCTCCCTTCACACCTCCTCACTCACCTGGCTGCCCAGGCACTCCATTCTCGACTCTAACCCCTGCTCCCAGGCTCTGCTGCAAGTCTTGCTCTCTTCCCAGAGGATGGGAAAATGAAAGCAGACCATTGTGGAAGAGGAGCTAGAGAATTCTAGGGGCAGCGACACATGGACATCACGGGCCTGATGTTGCATACTTTGAGAGTGTCAATCAACGAACAGTCATAGAGTGCCTACGAATGTCAGGCACCAGGCCAGGACAGGTGAACACACAGGTGAACAAGATGTGATCCCTGCCCTAAGGAACTCAGAGCTGAGTGGGCAAGAGACCAGAGGACAATTCACGGAACAGAACATTGCAGTCACTCCCACAGACCTCTGTGCAAGGTAGAACTCACTGGGAGTGGGGGTGGCATTTTACCCCTTGGGCAAGAGAGTTTTCAGAATAACTTTTTTTTTTTTTTTTTGCAAAGAAAGAAAAGTTTGTTTAAAAGTAAATTAGAGAGAGAGAGAAGGGAGAAAGAAGATTTGTCTCTCCCCAAGGTGGGAGAGGGGGCCAAAGCCAGGAAGCATGGCGCCTGCCATAGCTCAAAGAGCACTTGGCCACACTAGAGTCTAGCAAGGCAATGGCCCTGAATAACTTCTAAAGGGCGTGAGTCCTGAAAGGCTGAGGGCTCGCCACAGGAGGATGATGGGCAGAAGAGGGTCCCAGGCAGAGACAACCAGGCCTGGAACCCATTTCTGGACACTGTGTTTACCTGAGAGTATCCTGGGTCCCGCAGAGGAAGGGTTTGCAGATGTGTGTTTGTTGGTTGTGTGAGACTGCCACACATGGTGTCTGGTAAGGCTCTGCCAGCCTTTCAGCTGTATCAACCCTGTGCTCTACTGTGCCGGGGGTGAAAGGTGGGACACAGACGGGCCCAGAGTATGACAGACTCAAAGGCTCGGAGGCCTTTTCAGACTCAGGCTGAGCCTCCTGCCTGCTCCATCATTGCCCAGATTCCTGCATCTGGGGGAGCAACCTCCAGTGGTCACCAGCACAGAGTTTTCTAGAGGAGGACCCTCAAGGCGGCCAATGCCTGGGGATGGAAGTTCAATCATGGGATTTGGGAAATGAAAACGCTACCCAGGTGGACATGGCTGTTGATATTTTTAATATCAGCATTCACACACCTCGACACAGTGATTTGAGGTTTGCAAGTTCGTGAGCACATTTGATCCTCCTGACTCTGCTGTGGACCGGTGTAACACCTTTCAGGTGAGATACTGAGGTGCCATGCCCAGAACTCAACCCGATGCTTTTCTATCAACATCTGGAACCTCATAGGATGGGACTGTGACGATGAACAATTAGCAGAGTGGACGGCGGTGGTTTCCCCATCCCAGGAGTAAGCCCAGCCTCCGCTTTTTTTTAGGAAGTCCTTTGCCCCACTTCTATCTGATCTAGATGCTTCTGGGGCCAAATCCTTGGAGATGGAGCTTTAGAAACAGCATTCCCTGCCCCACCCCCTCTCCCCTACCAAATCCCTCCCCTTGGCCCTTAAATAAGTTTGTGTGTGTGTGCGTCAGAGCTGGTTGAAATGTTTTGTCTGTTTAACATTGCCATGGCAACCTGGGGGCATCTCTTTGGCTTTCAAGTGGTGTGCTCAGAGTTATGTGTTCGTTTGGAAGGAAAAACATTGCTTGGAGCTCAGCCAGTGGGTGCTGGGGCAGCCTGCCTTGCTAGTGAACCCACTGTACTCCAGGCATTGGCTCACGTTGGAGCCTGGGAATAGCCAGCAGCAGGGGGTGGTTTTCTTTTTTAATCATTATTATTTTAAGCGGCTTGGCTTTCTGTTGTTGATTAGGAGAGGTGCAAAGTTAGGGAAGCTTGCTTGCCTTTTCAGCAAAAAGCCCCAGGCCCGCTTCCCCCTGTATCTGATCTTAGGCATGGCCCCCAACACAGGCCCC